TTTTTTTTTTTTTTTTTTGTAATTTGGGTGAATTGAAACAATAACCAGAACCAGAATAATTGACAAAACCCTGGTAGAAACTTAATCTTTGTTTCAGAAATCAAAGACAACATATACATTGCATAGCAACCAAATCTCTTGCCTGTTGGCTTTTGGAAACCGCAGTGCCCTGCCCCCAAGATAGTGGCAGACTATACAACTATGAATAGTAGTGGCATTCCACAGTCCTGCCAATAATCCAGTTTCATGCAGTAGGCTTCCAAAATGACTCACTACGTGTCTTCCAAGTTTCCTGTTCCAGGATTTTGACCCATGATTTATGGTTCCAGATCACCCACATTTTTTTACTTGGCATCTCATCGGTATCACTGTGTCAGCTATGAATAAACCAGTTCAAAGTTCTGATTAATATAGAGTGTCAGTGATTTCATAGAACTAATACTATGATAGGAGTGCTGGTGGTGCTGTAGGATAAGCATTGGACTGCTAACCACAAGGTCAGCAATTCAGACCCACCAGCAACTTCATGGGAGAAAAATGAGATTTTTCTACTCCCACCAAGATTTATAGCATCAGAAACCCTATGAGTTGACTCAACAGCACCTAACAACAATCACATTTATATACCAGAGAAGGAAGAACAGGAGATAATTATGGAGATTTTAAGAAAGCAGTTAAGGAGCTCTGGTAGCATAGTGGTTACGAATCGGGCTACTAACCTCAGGGTCAGCAGTTCGAAACTACCAGCTGTTCCGTGGGAGAAAGATGAGGCTTTCTGCTCCCGTAAAGTTTTATAGCCTCAGAAACCCTGGATAGTGTCGCTATGTGTCCAAACCAACTCCACAGCACATAACAACAACAACAAGAAACCAACTGTAACACTTCATTTACCATGCTTGTCTGTAAGGCTTGTAAATTTATACATGAGAAACTATTAAGAAGAAGAAGGATAAGAAAGAACAGTTGATTCCCATATTTGTATCTCTGGTATTGTCCATTCAGATAAGGTCCAAACCTATATTTTTACTTCAATGGATACAAAGTCACAAACCTCAGTGCACAAGAGCAAATCCAACCATACCACCTGTTTTGTGTGGTGAGCTAAGAATGGATTGTACATATTTAGGTAGTTGGAAAAACTTCAAAGAAGAATATTTTGTCTCATTTGAAAATTACATGTAATTGTATTCCAGTGTCCATGACTAAGTTTTGTTGGAACACTGCCACCCTTAGTCATTTACAGATTTTCTACTGCTGCTTTTAAGCTACAAGTAGAGTTTAGTAGTTGTGACAGAGACCATCTGGTCTGCAAAGACTATCTGGTCATTTACCGAAAATGTTTGTTGACCCCTGGTCTAAGGCATCTCCACTTGTTTCTCCAAGCAAAACATCACTTTCATTTCTTTAAAACATACGCAATTACCACTTCCACTAACGTTCCACACACCTGCCCCATCTGTGTCAACCTCTGGCATTAACTACCCTCTAGCTGGAAATCTCTCTTTACCTAACTATACACTCTCTACATTCAACATCTGCCTTCATAAACATGTTTTTTTATTGAGTCCTCTCTGACAAAATTCTAGTATGGATTTGAATATCTGCCCTTCTCTGAACTTATTTTACAAATATTGTTTGTGTTAACCATTACGCCCTTTCTCTGTAATTATCTACATCACACAGTTTAGCAGTATGTCTTGTCCTTTAGCAATTTCATGCTCAAATGCCCTTAGTTCCATTAGATTATAACCTCCATGTGGGCAAAAGATCTTAAGATGCTTTTCAACTCTACAATGCCAGTGCACACCATGCAGATATTAGCCATGAAAACAATAACTACTAATTGTAATTAGTAAGAGGTTGAAATTAGAATTCTTGTTTGGATTTTAAATCAGTTAAAATTATATAAATTGGATATTTGTATTGCAGAGGATTACTAAAAGAAAGTTGTTTTTTTCACAATGTGAGATTTGCGGCCATGTTTTACTTCACTTAAGATCAAGCACAAACTCAAACCCATGTAAAACACAAATAGAGCCATGCCCACGTCTGGATCAAATTATTCAAAATTAAGTGCTACCCATGTCCCACGTGGCATGACTAACTTTCTAACTGACATCTTTTGATTATATTCCCTTGGACACATTCTTCTGTTCTTTACAGGAAAATGCTAATACATAAAAGGCAACACTATTTGCAGAAAGTAAAATAGAAGGAAGTTTGTTGTTGTTAAGTACTGACAAGCCGGTTTCAACTCAGGGCAACCCTGTATATAGGGTTTCTGAGGAGCAGCTGGTGGGTTTGAACTGCCAACCTTGTAGTTAGTTAGCAGTCCATTGCTTATCTTAGAGTGCCACACCAGGAATCCGAAGTGGGAAAATAAAATATGTACATTTAGTAAGACTCACAGAAAAGTAATGGTGGTGGTGATAGTTATGTACCACTGAACTGGTTCCGACTCACAGTGACCCTGTGTAGAGTTACCGAGACTGTAAATCTTTATGGGAGCAGAAAGCCTCATCTTTCTCCTATAAAGTGACTGGTAGATTTAAACTGCTGAAATTGTCATTAGCAGCCCAGCTTGTAATCTACTAGATTCCTTCACAAGAAGACTAGTTAGGTAAAAATAGTTGGAAAGATTTTTTTAAAATAATTTATGTATACAGCTGTTTTTCTCCTATAAACACAAGGTCAGATGCACAAACCCACTATACCATCCTCAGAAACCCTATACAGGATCACTGTGAGTCAGAACAGACTTGACAGCACTTAACAGCATATCCTGGAGAGTTTTCCATTTTTCTGTAGATCTTTTATATCATTGAGATCTATAGAATCATTGAGAAGATATTTCTCAATACAATCTAAGATGTAGTTGACTGCTATTATCATATGCAACTGTGGCACTCGAAAGTAAAAGCAATTATTTTTCTTATCATATCCAGTGATATGTTGGGCATGTAGAAGAATTTTAACAAATTCTTGTCTGTTGATTGAAAATGATTTGATTGATTATAACTTTAACAAAATAAAAAGTATGTTCTGTCACTATGAAAGTGCTCTAATATGATGAAGAAGGAGCCCTGGTGGTACAGTGATTAAGCACTCAGCTGACAATCCTAAGGTGGGTTTGAATCCATAAGTTGCTCCAAGGGAGAAAGAGGTGGCAGTTTGCTTCAGTAAAGATGTGTTGTTGTTAAGTGTTGTGGAGTTGGTTTCTACTCTTAGCGTCCTTGTATAAGGTTTCTAAGGAACAGCTGGTGGTTTTGAACCACCAACCTTGTGGTTATCAGTCCTGTACTTATCCTACAGCACCACACCAGTTGTTAAGTGCCATGGAGTCAGTTCTGACTCACACCAACTCTGTATAGGGTTTCCAAAGAGCGATTGGTGGGTTTGAACAGTTCTACTCTGTCTTGTTGACTCGTTGTAAGTCAGAGTCAACTCAGTGGCAGTGGGTTTAAGTTTTTTTGTTTGTTTTTTAATCTGATGAAGAAGGGACTCTGTCAATATTTGAGGAAGAGGGATGAGAAAAGCAGCAGCATCATTACAATGCAATGCCTGCCAAAGAGGAGCAGGGAACAAATGTCATTAACCTGAGCAAGTGCTCAGAGGTGGTCATAGGATTACTGATAATCATGGTTTTACAAGCATATTCAAATAAGTGGCCATTTCAGGAAAATAGTTCATGTCCTGGAAGATTTAACAAATAGAAACTCTTATTTTAATTTTGAATAAAATCAAAATATGGTTTTTAAAAGATATATGTGAAAATATTGTCACAATTGAATTATTTGAATTCATAAATTCAATCACCAAAGTACTCTCAGCTCAATCAAAAATTCTGTAAGCATCGTATCTACTTAACATAATTCAGAAGTAGAATCTTACGACTCAAACATTTGTTAAAATAGATGTAACATTATGTATATGACTTTTTAAAATAGAATCATAATTTTAAGATAATATAAAGCAATTTGAGCAAGATGAGAGAAAATTTCAATAATGTAAATTATGTTAAAGATTCATATTAGTTAAGAATTTACACAAAGTGATAGCATTTTTAATAAATAAAATGCTAGATTAGGTTAGGAGACATGGCTTCATTTACTCCTGTTCTGGCTCTTCTTTTTGGGCTTCTTAAGCTTGACTTTTCTAAACTTGCATTTCTGCATCATCAAATGAGCAGATGGAAGCATGTCACAGGATGGTTGAGAGGGTTAAATGAAATAATCGTAAAGTAGTCTAAAAATTATGCATGGTTATGCCAATGTAATGGGTAATTATTATGAGACATTTACAAAATGAACTGATTTTTCTGAATAAATAGCACACTTTTTCTATCTCCACCACATACAGTAAATCATTCCTTACTTGTTTCAAATTGTGGCATAGATACAATTTGTTCTTTGATGTTTTTTCAGGAGCTAAAATTCAAAACTATGGGTTGTTTTGTTATTTTCTTATTCATGTGAACCACATATTTTCCTGAATCAATGGCTAGTCCTCACCAGGAGAATGAAAAAAAAAAAAAAAAAAAGTCTCATCATAAGTATCATTTTATTTCTCATATGACTTTTATACTTCTCTTTATATGACAATTTAAAATGATATAATGTCATGAACTTTATTTAGTCCATGTCAGAGTATCACGAACTATAAATTAGCAGGTATTGTCTCAGCATGGTTTATGGTGCTTACTAAACAAGTCGGCAAATGGATTTGGAGCAGCAAAGATGGTGAAGGTTTAACCCACAAGAGTGTAGTTTGTTGCATCCCTCTAGTTTGAGCCCCGTATAGCCCCATGAATGATTTCGGCAAAAGTCACGTAAAGATGTGTGGGACTTCCCTGGTATAGGGAAGTGTGTTAATTTCCCAACTTCTGCTGTACATACCTACAGAGTAAGAAGCAGTGCTCTCAAAGATCCCAGCAAGACTAGACTAGATGAAGGGGGCCAATGCCCATCTCCTATACTGTGTAGTTTTGTGATTTGTACACTAGATGCATTAACAAAGAAAAGAAATGGCACATATTATCAGATAATTGTCTCTGTATTGTTTATGCTCTACAACAGGTATAATAATTGTTCCCTATTGTTATGCTAATTTGTTGTTGCTGTTGTTAAGTGCAGAGTCTGTTCTAACCCATAGGCACCCTGTATAGGGTTTTCACTTGAACAGTAGTTCAAACTGACTTTGCAGTCCAGTACATCAACCCACAGTACCACACCAGGACTCCTATGCTAATTTGTTAAGTGCCTTCGAGTTGATTCCGACCCATAGCGACCCTGAACAGGGTTTCCGAGGCTGTAAATCTTTATGGGAGCAGAAAGCCTCATCTTTCTCCCGTGGAGCAGCTGGTAGTTTCAAACTGCTGACCTTGCGGTTCGCAGCCCAATTCATAACCACTATGCTACCAGAACTCCTTCCTATGCTAATTTAGATTACCATAACAGAAGATACATTGTCTATAAGTTACTCATTATACTTCATGGCTCTTTGTTGTCACTGTTAAATCGACTCTTTGGTACATGCAGAGCAACTAGGTATAAAATATGAGTAGTTATTGCTTGAACGGATGGTATATTTTATAGCAGTGAGCTGAGATGAGATTGGGGTTGACCCACATAGGTTCTGAGGCTTCGGTCATCACATTCCTGCAAACTCTGTGGTTGCCTATGCTTTAGAAGTTTCACCACACTATAATGTGGAAATAATGTGGTTTGTACTTAATATCATTAAAATATATTCTTCAGCTCAAAATTAAAAGTAATCAGTGATGAAATTTAATTCTTTTTTTTAATTTGTGCTTCAATAAAGTGTTTGGGGATAATTTCTAAATATTATAAGATGGTATTAACTATGTTAGAAGGTTTTTTTGTTGTGATTTATACTGTTTCTTCTCTTCCCATTTGTGAGGGAGAACACTGAGGAAGTCCTCCTGAAGGGTGGGAGGCTTCCAGTTACAGAACTAGTTAATGACTAAACAGAAAATAGTAAGACCAGTGACAGCTTGTTAGATCCCTCCCTCTTTCCTCCTTTCACCAATGACCATAATCAAAGCTTCAGTCAGAAATACCTAACACTGGGCTTTGCCTGTTAAGTCCAGAGCAGGCCCTAAGCAAAACTGGAAACCCATCCAAATTAGCAGTCTGCAGTTACGTTCTCTTTCCATGAGCCCCCGCTCCCTCTACCCCTACATCCTTCACCCAGTCCTTTCAAGCCACACCCTCATGCTGGTAGCAGAAGAATGCTTTGGAAATAAAATGCCAGAGGCAGTGTGCTACCCCTGTAAAGATATTTTGGGTTTTAAAGAGAGAACCACTCAAAGCAGCCGTGCTTAATTAAAAGAATGAATCTCTAATGGAGGGATTTAGGACATTGCTGAAAGAAATATTTTTGTGGGGATTCTTCCTACACACTCTAGGCTCACCTTTAAGTAATTGCTTACTCCACCGATTCATGATAAAAAATCTGGCCTTTAGGCAAATGAACATCCTGTGACTTTAACTGATCCTGCCAAGGATAATAACTCAGAAAAGAGAGTCCATTATAATAAATCATTGATAGCAACATTTTCTCACCCATGTACTAAAGGAGATTTTTAAACAGCTCTTAAAAATATAGCACTTGCTTTTCAAAGTACCTGTTTGGCTGTCAGTAATGAGGGTTGTTCAGAAAGGAATAGTAAGCAACCAGAATCCTATAAATGAAGCACTGACTTTTAAATATAAAGAGATTATGCCACATGCGGCATGTATCTTACATATCTGAGTATTACTACATAGCCACTCTACGTTGTTAAAAAATTCTCTTGAACTTATTTATATTCAAGAGAATATGTTATTCTTTATCCCCTCAGCCATCACTATTTCACTGGCTTGGCTCTTTATTAGAATTTTAGAAGTATTTTCTTGAGGAAAGTACTTTCTGCCACATTTTGTGTTCTATATACCTGGCAGGGAACCCACTTCCCAAAGAAAACCAACCCAGGATGCCTAGGAGGTGGCCCCCAGATGTCTTATGAATCTGGGTCGCCTGCACATTACAACAGTGAGCTCTGGTTGGCCTCCACCCAGCCAATCACTAGACAGATGAGTGATCTGCAGAGGTCCCAGATACTGAAAAGATAATAAGCAATTATAAGAGTGGAGAGAAAGCCTTGACTCCCTTGGGCCTTCACCAGACTGAAATGCACGGTCACTTTCCCCACCCTAACCCAAAGCCTTAGCAGGTATATGTCTTTAAATGGATTACTTGATGTGTAATTGTTTATACCTGCTTAATAAACAGTCCGTTTAAGGAAAGAACACACACATGTATTCTTACCCTTCTCCATCCCCAAAGTCTCCTTATTCAAACATTTTTTTTAAAAAACCCTAAAGCCTGGATTTTTGTTTCTTTCTTCCCATTAATAAACCCATTAACATCATTAGGACTCCTCTACACACACACACCGATTGGTATTAATTAATGTGTGTGTGTGTGTGGTTTGTTTTAACAGAACTAGTAGGAGTTAGGAGACAGCAGTGGGTTTTTGGTTTGGTTTTTGGTTTGGTATGGTTCCTTTACGTAGTGCGCTAGGTCTTTTGAGTCATCCTTTTTTTTTTTTCCCACTGTCTCTCTCTCTCTCTCCTGTGCCTCCCCACAGCTAAGCGGTATTGTAAGAACTCGAGTCCGACCAGCAGCACCACGAGCAGCTATGCCCCTAGCAGCAGCAGCAACATGAGCTGTGGGGGCGGCAGCAGTGCCAGCAGTACTTGCAGCAAAAGCAGCTTTGACTACACGCATGACATGGAGGCAGCCCACATGGCTGCCACGGCCATTCTCAACCTGTCCACCCGCTGCCGAGAGATGCCACAGAACCTCTCCACTAAACCTCAGGACCTCTGTGCAGCCCGGGTAAACGCTCCGTTTATTGAGGAAGCTGCCACGACCCCACCCCCACTCGGTCCAGGGCTGAGGCCACAGAGGGGAGGGGGTGGGCTGCCCTGCGTTTTGTCTTAAAGGCAGCTTTTTCCCCAGTAAAAAGCTACAGCTTTTTTTTTTTTTCTTTTTCTGGTTTAATGCAGTCAAATAAAAATAGTGATGCTGAGTCACTTAAATCCAGGTCAAACAGACGATCTTAAAAATATGGGACTAATGATATGAACCTATGGTTTAAATTATGCTGTAATTTGTAGACTCAGTGATAATATAAAAGCTTTTTTTTTTAGTTTGAAAATTTAGTGCAAGTTTGCATACAGTAGCTAATGGCACCACTGGCTTAACACTATTCATTTTTTAAATTAGGAGAAATTATGAAATCTTTTAGGTTAATGTGTATAAATGGACCCTAAGCATTAGGATCAGTAGTCATTTCTGTAAACATTGGGTCCCACAGGATTTTCTTGTTGTTTCAAATGGTCATATAGAGAACACCAAGCTAAAGAAGCAATATTACTTGCATTAAAAAAAAAAAAAAAAAAAAATCCTGAGGTTTAGTAGTTCCATTGTTAAATAAAATGTCAGGGAGTAGCCCTTTGCCTCCATGCCCAATATATTAGCCAGTCCTATGGAAAGTAAAACACCTGATTTTCACACTACCTTCTCATTCTTGTAATCATAGCCAGTACTCATACGTTTAAAACAATTATAAATGCTAAAATGATATGCAATATTTATCAAGGTCTTATATTTTAAATTTTCTTATCCGTCGATTCATTGCCTATGCTTACAGCAGAAGATAAAGAGTTATTTAAGATGCACCAGAGAACTCAGAGAGAGCTACCTCGATGAGGCCACTAGGTGGCCCGGGAGAACCAGGCAGAGCCAGGGAGCCCGTTGTATTGTGTTCTCAGAGGAGAGGCTGAGCAGGCGGACATGTTCACCTCTTCCCAAGAAAAACAAAGGTTTTCTTTCTCTCTTACCTAAAGCTTCTTGGCTATGCACCATGAGCTCACAACACTGACAGTAGTTGTTATAAATCATTGTAATTTGTATGAATGGAGAAAGGTCAGTAATTTTGTATTTTGCAAATGCTTTCTTTTCTATTAATATCTTTATTCCTATATATTAGAGAATTGTCAGGGGCATGCAATTTTCATTGTGATCAGGGTTGCTATGATGCAAGACTATCATGGAAGATATTCTCTGTAGAGAGAGAGAGCGAGAAAGGGAGGAGAGAGAGAAAATAGTCACCCCTTCCCATTTTTTCCACTTTATTAAAATTAAACTAAGACTGAGAGAATAAATCCAACATTATGAAGCTTAAATTAGTATCAACGCTGCAATCAGGAATGTGCTTTGACAGAGCTCAGGCAGAATAATGCTGTGTAATTTATCAAGGTAACAGCCCAAAGGATGGTATTTTCATCCCAAGCATCCTCCTTGTGCTATTACATGGAGGGGAAAGATTGCTGCTAGACATTTGAGTAGGCAGTGCTTTCATGTTAGCTCTGAAATCCAATTTTTGCTCAAGAGAGTGTAACTCTTTAGGGTAAAAAATGGACGGATTCTTGGGACTGCTTTGAGTTATCTTACTTTCTGTTTTCCATGTGTCCTTCCTTCTTTCTTAATGAAAGGCAAGCTCAGAAGAATTCTGTTTCAAAGCATCATTTAAATATTAAAAATAAACCTCACCCTGTACTGCTTTAAAACAAAAAAAAAAAAAGTTGACTAAATTTCAGATTTGCTGAAAGTTAGAGCAGGTCAGACAATAATCACTGTAGTAGAAATATTTTAAACTGTGACTGCATTTCTCCTTGCATTAAAATGAAAAATTACCATTATTATATAGAATTTACTATTAGAAAATAAATTATAATTCCTTCTCAGTTCCTCCATTTATTTGGTTTTCTTCTCTGCCACTGTTGAACTATTAGAATCAGTAGAACTGAAGGAGAAATTTTAAGCTGAGGTGTGTTTGTTTATTTGAACTAGGATAGAATTTAAATTAAGCACTTGGTTTTCTTATGACTAGACTAGTTTCTAAAAACATAGGTATGCTGACAAGTGAAACAGTTACATAGATACATAGATGCATTCTCCAACCATTCTCAAGGGAAAACACTAAATAAAAGAAATATACCAACAGACCACTTCTGTGTATTTTGAAAGTTTGCAGAACCTTTAATGAGAAGGTAGGAATTCAGTGTTTAAAGTTTGTATTGGCTGAAGGCTGGATTCTGATTTAGGTGATTTAAAGTGTGGTGGTTACAAGATAGTCAGGCACAAATTCAGTTACTGTGTCTCTATTTTGACAGAATCCTGACATGGAGGTGGATGAAAATGGGACTCTGGACCTCAGTATGAATAAGCAGAGGCCGCGAGATGGCTGTTGTCCCATTTTGACTCCACTGGAGCCTATGTCCCCCCAACAACAGGCGGTGATGAACAATCGGTGTTTCCAACTGAACGAGGGGGACTGCTGGGACTTGCCAGTAGACTACACCAAAATGAAGCCCAGAAGGATAGATGAGGATGATTCCAAAGAGATTACTGTATGTCCTTTTCATTGAAACCTAACTTTATTGAATCATAGACTTTAAAATCGGGCCTCAGTTACAAGAAAATGCCATTTTCAGATATCCTAAGACAAAATATATGACCCTTAGGCTATTGTTGTTGTTAAGGGCTGTTGAGTGGGTTCCAACTCATAGTAACCCTGTTTAGGGTTTCCTAGGAGTGGCTGGTAGGTTTAAACCACCAAAATTGCAGTTTGCAGTCTAGTGCTTATCCTGCAGTGCCACACCAGAACTTCCTTAGCTGCTATTGTTGTTGTTAAGTGTTGTTGAGTCCGCTCCAACTCATAGCGGCCCTCTCTAGGGTTTCTGAGCAACTGATGAGTTTGAACCACCAACCTCGCTGTTCAAACCAACCTTCTGGTCCAGTGTTTATCCAATAGCACCACAGAAGATATTTGTGACTAACATTGATTTGAGTGAAACAAACTTTAACTGCATTTTAAATGATGGATTTCATTTTCTTATAACTATATTTTGTCTCAAAAATATCTACTATAATGTTTAACAGCATACCAATGCATTTTTCTAGGTAAACTATTACTATAATACAGAATCTTCTTTTCCAGTAGAAATTAGTACGAGTCTTAAATACTTAAATGTTTAACTGTTTGTTATGAATTACCTAGCTCTTTTGATGCAAGGAACAGTGCCCTTCCTTTTAGATGTGTCAAATATTGAAGATAGTATACCCAGCTTTAAATAAATTATCTTAGTTCAGTCATCTAAATCTTTGTTGACTACAATATTATTGAAACACCTATGATATAAAAACATACTTATTTTCAAATTTAGGTTATTTGACCATCTTTTAAGCTAAGGAAAGAAACGAAAGATACTTCTTTCTTTATTGAACTTTTTTTTTCCAGTGTTCAATCCTGAAAATTATGACATCTTTTTTATTCAATGAAAATGGAAATTCCTCTTGCATATAATACCTAGACCACCTCAAAGCAATAGTGTCTTACAGAAACCTCTTGTTAAGTGCTGTCATGACACTTTCGACTCAGAGCAACCTGTATAGCATTTCCAAGGAGCCGCTGGTGGATTTGAACACCAGCCTTGTGGTTAGCAGTCCAATGCTGGTCCTACCGTGCCACACCAGGACTTCTAAAGAAATGCCGGCAGCTGTTGCTGTGTGCTGTGGAGTGGGTTCTGACTCATAGAGACTCTGTATAGATTTTCAAAGGCTGCAAATCTTTATGGAAACAGAGCATCTCATCTTTCTCCTGTGGAGAGTCTTGTGGATTCAAACTGCTGATCTTGCCATTAGTAGTCCAATGCATAACACAGTATGCTACCAGGGTACCTTCCTACAGAAATTAGGGGATCGAAGGAAAGGAAACAATGGCTATACGTAAGAATTAACAAGGAAAGCACTTGCTTATAAAGTCATTACATCTTAAAGCCTACTTTTTTATTCTTGAAACTGAGTTAAGTATCTAGGAACTCACTATTAAGGAGACTGGAATCCCAGTGGCAAGCTCAAATTTTGGAATATTTTTCTCTCCTATGGTGTTAACTCGTTTCTACTAAATAAGACATGATCATTGAATTGCAAAATGTATTTTAATTAAAATTAAGCCCTCAAAAATTGTCAGAAATATTTTAATCATATTGACTGTAACAGAAGTAAAACCTTGTTGTTCAAAGTACATGAACCTACAAAATACTTTTGCTGAACATTGCCATCTATAGGAATTTTTCTGTTACTACAATTAAACACAATTCTTTCTGAAAGTGGATCCTTTCTAAAAAAGTGTTTCGCAAGAATAATTTAAAATTACAACATTCATCAAATTTTGTTTCATTAAATGTACATATATGCAAAGTATTTTCCAATGATTAGTAAAATCTCAACTCTAAAACGTTTTCGATAGAAAGTTTAATCTTTGAATGTCAATATAGAATAACATTTTCACTGATTACAATTCACCAACAACTATTTATTGAGCATTGAGAGACAGGCCCAATTTTAAATAGTCTACCTTGTCTGAACATTTATCTGTCCAGTGTTATGATTATGTTGTTGTTATTTGCTGTCAAGTCGATTCCTTCTCAGGGCAATCCAATGTGTACAGAATAGAACTGCTCTATAGGGAAGCAGATCATTAGGCCTGACTTCCAAGATTCCTCAGGGTGGATTCGAACTGCCAACCTTTGGGGTAGTAGTAGAACACTTAACTGTTTGTGCTATCCAGAGAGACCCCATGTTATTCCATTCCAGGCTACTAATTGAACTGAAAAGGGTTTTGAGTTTGGGGCTTTTTTTTTTTTTTTTTGTCTTTAGGGCACAAATGGTTTGCATTTGATGACTAGCCTGAAGGTTTGTGGTTCAAACCCATTCTGATGTGCCACACAAGAAAATCTTGGTGATCTGCTTCTGTTAATCCACAACCAAGAACACCATATGGAATAGTTCAGTACCACAGAATCAAGTTTAACATAGAACATGAACCCTGTCCACTGATGGTTTATGGTAATTGTAGAAGTTTAGAACAGTTTATAGGAAATTAAAATTTGCACTGTTGAAAAGAGACACTTTTTGAGTAAAGCTCACTTTGCATTTTCAAAAGAATTTCAAAATTCTTCCTCCTCAGGACAAGAATATACCAGGGTAAACCAAAAAGTATTGTTACTCGAGTTTCAGTTCATACATGTACAGGTTTATTCCAAACAGAATATGTTTCAACTTGCCTCTGTGATCAGTGAATGGTTGCAGACAAGTTCTCTAATACACTTGCCTGAGTCATTGGGTGCCCTCAAAAATGATTCAATCAAATCATTGGCTTCTGAGGAGATTTGCTGAGTCAGTTAAATTCAAGGTCAAGAGGTCAGCCCAGAAGGTTATAGTTACAGTTTTGAGGATTCCAAAGGAGTAATAGTGATAGATTTTCTTGAAGGAAACACCAGGATCATGACAGGTTATTAGGAAGAAGTATTAAGAAAATTGAAAACTACATTGGTGAAAAATAGACCAGGAAAGTTGTGCCTATGACTTTTTTCTTCTTTTTTTCCCATCAAGACCATGTACTTGCTCAATCTTCCAGGGTAACAAGAATTGCCCTGCGATAATTTCTCTGGAAAACCCTACCCCATCCACCCTACAGCCCATTCAGACATCTTTTTGGTCCCCAAACTCAAACATTGAAAATGAACACAAATTTAGTCCCTCAAAGATGCCTAGACTGCTGTCTTGATATGGTGTAAATCAAAGATTTCAAGAACAAAGATGTCAGTTTGAGGACTAAAGTGTGCATGACCCATGCCATGGTATTTTCAATAATCTCATATGCATATGAACATTGGACAGTGAATAGGGAAGACTGTAGAAGAATTGATACACTTGAGTTATGGTATTGGAGGAGAATAGTTAAAGTACCATGGACTGCCAAAAGAACAAACAGATCTGTTTTGGAAGAAGGTCAGCCAGAATGCTCCTTAAAAGCCAGGACATCATCTCTTACACTTTGGACATATTGTCAGGAGGGAGCAATCACTGGAAAAGGATATCATGTTTAGTAAGGTGGAGGATAGGAGAAAAAAGAGGAAGACCCCCAACTAGATGGACTGGCGCAGTGGCAGCAGCAGTAGACTCAAACATAACAACAATTGTGAGGTTGGTGCAGGACTGCGCAGTGTCTCATTCTGTTATGCATAGGCTTGCTATGAGTCAGTACTGACTAGATGGCACTTAACAACAACGGCAAATCAAAGATGGCAGAATTTTTCAGGGAAGGGTTGTTGTTGTTATTAAGTGCCATCGAGTCAGCTCTGAATCACAGCAACCCTATATAGGGCTTTCAAGGAGCAGCTTGTAGGTTTGAACAGCTGACCTTCTGGTTCAAGCTGACCTTGCAGTCCAGTACTTTATCCTACAGTGCTACACAAGGACTCCTCAGAGAAGAGATAGAGAGATGGACACACACTTTCAGAAGTATACAGACTTAGGTGGATATGACAAGAAACAATTGCTTCTCATTTTGCTTTGTTGTTTAATAACGGTTTCTGTTTTTTTTGTAGCAAGACTTTTCTCTTACTCCCTCATATGACCATTTAAAAAGTATAGTAGGAAGAGGGGGGAAATGTAGAGATAATCTCACAGCCACCAGTTACCTTCTTTGATGTGTGTCTTATATTATCATCTGTGTGGCTCTGAAGCTGTATTTTGCCTGCAGCCGGAAGACCTGGATCCCTTCCAGGAAGCAATGGAAGAAAGACGGTATCCTGGGGAAGTGACTATCCCAAGTCCCAAACCCAAGTATCCTCAATGCAAGGAGAGCAAAAAGGATTTAATAACGTAAGCATAACGTGAGGTGAAATTATTACTCTTCGGAACTTTCCTTTTCTTTGGCTTATTTTTAAAAATCAGATTTGTATATGCCTTGCCGTTTGAGCATGCGACATTCGCAGCATATAAATGTTTCAAATTGCAAGTTCAGTAAAGCGAGAAGCTGTGTATTTGCTTGTTCTTAATGATGCTCTATTGTATGGAGACGCCATTTTCATTTAATCCTGTGCATTTTGCAGCTTTTCTTTAGGGTGCTTAAGTCCCCTTGCAGACATTGCAGCTAAACTGGAAACAATGAAACTTTTTTAAAGTTTTTTTTTTTGTTTTTTTTTTTTTTTTTAAACATACTTACTATTTTGGCTGTTTTTGTTTTTGTTTGGTGGCAGATGTCCAACACCAGGGTGTGATGGGAGTGGTCATGTGACTGGTAATTACGCCTCACATAGAAGGTGTGACTTCATTTTTTTCATGGTGGATTCTGTCTTTTCAATTTATTGTTTTCAGCTTACCTCAACAATGCTGTCAAAGTAAAAATGTTGAATTATGTGTCAACCCCCTAAGTGCTATATGTTGACCTTTAAAAGCATGCCAATTTATGTGTTGTATAATGTCTTTATTTTCAAATAGATGACCTAAATTCAAAAACTTTTTTAAACTTTGAACAAAACAGTACTAATTTATTTTTTAAAAAAAGAAATATTTCCTTGAATTTATACTTCAACATATTCAGATTTCACTGCATATAAATTCAATATACAGCACTTGCCCCATCGCTTTTCTGCATTCAAATTTTTAATTTCAATTTTTTATGTTGTGTTTGTTCGGGAGGCTTCAGCTAACTAGAGGGTTGACTTACTTGAATGTCCTGACCTGTCTTACAGTCTGTCTGGCTGCCCATTGGCTGACAAAAGCATTCGAAGTATGCTGGCCACCAGTTCACAAGAACTCAAGTAAGATTTCATGAAAATAATTCTCTATTTTAAAAATCTATCCACTTAGAAGTTCACACACACACACACAAATGTGTGATTTAAATAGAAAAATGTCTAAAGTCACCTGTGCACAGTAATGCCTTTACTTGGCATCCATGGTTGAATCCTCATAATTTTTGTCACTTTGCAGGGCAATCTATTCTGCCTTTCTCCCTTTCATTGTTCTCTAGTTCTTTCATATCATGTCCTTGGTACCTTGAATCTTCAAAACATCAGGACTGTCTCTTCAGATACTCACACACATAGAAGGGAAATTTTACCTTACTCAAAATTTTAAGAACTATCAATTAAAAAGTCAAAAATTGACATTTAAAATAAATCAGTGATTAATATTATTATTTAAACTATAGATATTTAAAAGTACTAATGACCAAAAATCTAACACTGTAGTAGCTAGTTTATTAACTACACTATTGCCATAGTTATTAGTACTCTTTGGATAGTGATAATATATTTTCTCCAATCCATGTAGTCATGGTATTCAACAATACACAAATAGAGACACACATAACTATAAGAGTTTTACCTCCCTCTCCTCTCTGCCTATAATTCATCCTATGTTTTAAGCATAAATATGGCAAAATGGTAAAATCACTAAATTTATACTCTCAGCCTAAGGTATTGTGGTTTTTCTGTTTTGCTTATATGTGTATATAAGGGTGTGTGTGTGCATATACACATGACGTATATGATGAACCACAATTGCTGTACTAATATTGTGAAGTTCATTCATCCATATTCAGTTCCCAGACAGGTTTTGGAAGAAGTTGGTACAAGTTATAGAAAATATATTAAAAATATAGGTTCTCAAGTTATAGTAGAATTCAGGTTTATGTAAAGAAAGGAGGATAAGACAAGCAACATAAAAGAAAGTTCCACAACATGATGAGAACCAAGAGTATCAAAAAAAAAAAAAAGTTCTTTAATTACCTTCTCCACATGTAACATGTTAAAAATATCATTACGTGAAACTGCTTGGTTTTCATTTTGTTTGGAAAAAAAGCTTTATTACCAAAGTAAAGAAAGTTCTGTTTTCGACCTTATATTTTATTCCTTTCCCAGCTATGCTATCCCCACTCCCATGCCCTAACCCCTGTGTGATAGACCAGAGTTATCACTAAGTGTAGGATTTTGTTTCACACCCATGTCATTTTTTACAGGATCCCTGTTCAAGGCGCTAGTGCCATAGATCACCTGCTCATGTTCAGTGACTTCCTGAACTAGCACTTCCGTCACAAGACTCTTGGAGTTATCTTCATGGAATTTAAACACCTGGAGGGTATCCTCTTACTTAACAGCTTTACAGTCTGTAGCATCATCAAAAGCAGTGCCTAATGGACAAAATAGCATTTAGAATCTCAAAACGGACAGCATTAGCAAGAACAATTCAACCCAGTTTGTTAAGGCATCTTCACCCCACCCCACCCCAACCCCATGGCATGAAGCCATATATCCCTCATAGTCAAACATAATTAACTCTACTTGGAACTTGGCCAATGCATCAGAACATGGCAACATTCCTTTGAACTTCTTGATTGGGAATACTTTACAAAAGTTTGGCATATCGCCAGTTACATCAGGCCAGCTATAATCAAGAAAATAGCCTTTACACAACTTGCATCTAGTGTTGGTTCTAACTGGTTGGTGTCTCAAAGCCTCCAAAGACCAAATATTTTTCTGTTAGGTTTAGTTTTCATTGGTTTGCATCCCTTCACATTGGCTGGAAGTGTATGTTGGTCTGAAATTCCAAGCCAACCTGCTGAGCTCACCATTCCCATTTCTAGAGTGTCTGCACTTTCTTCTTATCTTTTTTTCATCTTGGAAAATGGGTTAATGGTCCTCTTCACTATCAACATCTTCAGAAGGTGGAGATTTGTCCTTCATATCTTTCAATACAAGGTAGGATTGGTCAGTCCCTTCCTTCCTGCCTCTTCCTGAAGGCTCAACCTTGTCTTCCAGCGGGCAGACAGCCTTTTTCTAATTTTGACTACTCTAAAAACCTTACCTATTTCTAAACATATCTTTGCAAAAGTAAATCACATTTCAAATGACTCTTTCTAAGGAAACAAAACTTGGCCACTTTTCTGAAATGGCCTGTTTCTATGCATAGATCTTCAAAACTAGGGATTTCAAATAAATGGTTACAGGCAGTCTCTAGGTTATGAACGTGTAACTTCTGTACAATCCAAAGTTACAAATTAACCTCTGTAAAGCCTATGATAGTAAGAATTCAAGGTACATAAAAATGGTTTCTAATAACAAACAGGTATTATTTTATAATGTGTATCCAAAATTATTATTATTACCATTATATTAAAGATGTTTTCATTATTTTAAAGTATTTTTTAGACTTTGATACATAGAAATGTACAAAATGTACTATATCCTAAGACAAACATTTGACTAAGTGATTTTTAGATACAAGCCATGCCTGTTTCAATTTACATACAGATTCAACTTAAAGACAGACTTAGGAACAGAACTCACTCATAATGTGGGGACTGCCTGTGTAAGAAAAAAATCTAATGTTTAGTACCAAATGTGACTAAATGACATATCCAGCTAAACCGAGGAAATCTTAAAGGATAATCTTTTTTTTTTTATCTTTTGCCTTTTAATAGATGATACTCCTTCATCTATTACCTTTTCACTTGAGTCAGAAAGCCTGGGTGGCTTTCCAAGCAAAGGAGCATTTAGTGTCTTTAAGATTTACACCACAATTCTCTAGGATAATCCATGTATGTGTCCTTTTCAGTAATTGTTCTTTATGCATTTTAAAAAAGAATTTGGGTAAATTCCTACAACAACAGCATCTCTTGTGATTAAGAGAGTGAAATCACACTATTCGTTCGGCAATGTTGTACTCTCAGCTTCTTCATAAAGGCGTATTAGAAAATAGGTCCCAATTATCTCAAAAAAAATCATAATTTCTCCATTACGCATCAGCTAAGTAATGGAATTTGCTAGAAATGTTCCTTTGGTCATTCCCAATGTTGAGTTTTTATACTTGGCCATTGACAAGACATTCTTGATCATGGACAAGACAACAAATTTTAGCAGATGAACTCTGGATCTTGGTCCTCAAGCCTCTTAAATATACTGACATGACATTTTGCTTAGTTCTTATTCAGAGCAGCAAATGGAGGATATTCTTCTTAGAAAAAGAAAAGAAAACGTCAAAATTTTTATGTCTATTTATGTACAATATGTAAACTGAAACTGTATTAAAATTTAATGTGTACATGAATATTATTCAAACTCTGGAACTGCTGCTTTCTCTGGTCCCTAGTCCTCTGAAATAGAAAATATAATTCATGGGTTTAAAAAAGTGAGATAGGAAGCACTGTAGAATAAAACTGAAACTTCAAGGTGGCAGACAAGAATAACTACAGGTTAAAAAGCTCCTGTGACTTGCAGATCCTTTCAAGTTGATGCTTTGAGGTAGAGTCAGTAGTTACATTGCATATATTTCCCACAAACCTACCTCACAGGGGTGTTGTGAGGATTCCTGATTGTAACATTCATTGAGACCCAGGTCAAAAGAATAAAAATGTATAAATTAAAGTGATTTTTTTTGGGGGGGTGGTGAGAACTCTGTTTAAGGAAACTCTGATTCTGAAGGGACGTATCTTCTCTTAATATTTCATTTGCTAGATTCACCTGAAAGTAGCAACTTGAAAGAACTTGCAAATGATATTATATAATAGTCAGCCTTTTTTTTTTTTAAGGATCCACATTCTCATAGCCATGGATTATTATTTCTATTTCTAGGGTGGTTGTTTTTTTAAGTGTAAGACAAAGGCATAAACTACATGTTCTAGTAAAAATAAAAAATAATTTCATTCAGAGACAATTAATTTTAAAATGGGCCTGAAATGGACTTCTGTTTATATGTTGGTGGTGGTGGTTATGTGCCGTGGAGTCAGTTCTGACTTACAGCAACCCTGTACAGGGTTTCCAAGGCTGTAAATCTTTATGGGAGCAAAAAGCCTCATCTTTCTCCCACAGAACAGCTGGTAGTTTCAAACTACTGAAGCTGAGGTTCGCACGATTCTTAACCACGATGCTACCAGAGCTCCTTATGTGTTAGTTGGTCAAATTTAGATACTCCCTTATTATTTGCATCTTTATTTTATAATATCATGATCCCAGGCTTCAGTACATACTTACTTTTCACTCTTCAGTTAAAATGTTATCCAATAGTTCACATTTATGACAATAGTTAAAAAAAACACAAAAATCTACTATCCAGCTATTTTGCATATTAGCAATAAGCATTTGGCAGTTACAAACTCCAAGGTATGAGGCAAGAATAATGACCCAGCTGGGCCATGATTCCCAGTGGTTTCGCAGTTAAATGATGATGTAACTGGTAGCTATACAATGATGTCGTCAGCCTCCATTTTGTGATTTGATCTAGTCATCCTCCATTTTTGCATAATGCCAATATTCCCATCAAGACCTGTTCTTTGAAAACTATTTGTGTCAATACATGAGGAATGGAAAAGAAATTAAAAGTTTAGTCTTTATTTCCTGATAGTTGAACATTGATTTAATCATTTGGGGGGGCTAGAATCTGCTTTTGGACTCCCTGTTCTTTAAATTTTTCTTTTATATATTCTTTAAGTCTCTCAAAATCTCTCATAGGTACTTTTCACTTAGACATACAGAAATTTTGGCCACATGAACCATAAGCTCCCGTCTTTTCTTTTTTTAAACAGGTAATATTTATTTTAAAGTAGACCTTAAATCAAAGAATTAAAATTTTGAACTTAGGCCAAGATATTACTTTTAGCTAAAGGCTACTTATTTCTAGAATTTGCCATGGCTTATTTATTTATTTCCAGCTACCAACTTAATACATGCAGCAAGGAGGATTATTTACCAGGATCAAATAAAGCTTAACTCACCTTCCAGTTTCCATTGTTTAGGGTGCAGGAAGTTCATCTACTTTTACT